AATCTCATCAAAATAAAAAATTCAAAATCTCAGAGATCATTTTGATTAAAAAACCAAAATTTTATAAAGCAATGGAAAAATGGTTTAGGATGTAGATTGGACGCATGATAAAATGAATTTAGGCTTCGCTGGACGACATCATGGTACTGCAAAAGTAAACATGTTACCAATCAAATGGGTTTTTTTATTTTTATTTTTTTTATCGGCCCACTTTGAGCTTTGCTTACTTACGGTATTAGCACAATAACTCTATTTGAAAATCTCTCTTTTCGTGTGATTCTTCAGTTTTAAAGTATCTTGTGTAGCATTTAAATTTGAGAATTTTAATGAAATTTTTTCGATATTATTTATTTTAATTAAAATTTATATTTTTATACTAAAAAGTCAATCCTGATACTATTTATTTTACCATTTATTTTATCTTTATTGTTAAAACTTAAAGTTTTCAAACTTTTTACATTAATTTTCCTTTTAAACTATAGTAATATATAGCCCACATTGCTGAGCAAATAAGTATAACGAAAGGATATTTGTTATTCAATAAAATAAAAGAATTATTGTACGAACTACTAAGACGTCTGGTAATTGACAATTGTGGAGGTTCTTATTGTTTTTTGCCATTATCTGTGTGTTAATTGTGACATCACCAAGGACCACAAACCAAATTGCATTTCTTAATTTATGTCACTGTTAGTCCCCGACTATACTAAATTGCATGTACTACACCTAATATTGTCCTTTAATATTATAAAAGTAATCATAATTGTTGTCCTTCAATTATTTTTAATCTTATTTGGTTACCTTTTCATGGCTGAGTATGTAGCATGTAAGTAATATTTTCATAGACTTGGATTGTCTGCCATTCTTATCTCATACTCTTTCCATTCTCTTCTATTTTTTGTGATAACGGTTAAGCCACGTCAACATTTTATATTGATTTTTTATAGAAATAATAAGACAAAAAGTAATGAGAATATAAAATGTTGACGTGGCTTAACCGTGACCACATAAATAGGAGAGGATGGGAAGAGTATGGGATGGGGAGGGCAGACAATCCAAGTTCTATTTTCACCACTACTCACATGTCACAACTAGTAATCTTACAACCACATGATGTAACAATTAACGTGATAAAAAAATATGCTAAGAACACTCTTTTAAAAGTTGAGTTTTCTATGAATTTTCTGTCACCTCACAGTTTAATAACTTTCGTGTCAACATTATAAAATATTGTGCTAAAAACAAAAAAAATTGTAATGAATCCATAGAGAGTCTCCTTATTAGCATTTCTTAGTAAGAATAATTGATATAATAAGTACGCACAAACCATGACATTATGTAATCAACTAATTTCATCACTTGATACTATATTTTGCTTAGAAATAATCCATGATTATGGATGCTGAAATATTAAAGTGTAGTCATTAGGCATTTTCTTTTTGGCAAGAATATAAGATAACTTAATTAACTAACCCACTTAAGAGCTCTTCATATTTCTACAACAACAAAAATCAAGTCTTATCCCACTAAATGAGGTTGGCTGTATGAGTCTTAGAACGTCAGTGCGCTCAGTTTTCCGTCAAGTCTTCCGTTAGCTCCAAATACTTCATATCTTTTCTTATAATCTCTTCCAAAATTTTCCTAGATCTTCCTTTACCCTTTTGCATTGAGTCTCCATCTCATAGTCGTATTTTCTAATTAGAGCATTTGAAGGTCTTCGGTTCACGTATTCAAAGCATATTAACCGATTTTCTATCATCTTATCTTCAATTACGGCTACTCTTTCTATACCTCAGATATCCTCTTCTTAATCCTATCATTTCATCCTTCTAATTAATATTTTCTACTCCTTTCAATCCGTCATCCTCATATACTTTTAATGTCTTACAATTTTAAATTAAATGTCTTCCATTTTAATTTGAGCATAAATATCTTATTACTTTTCGTCAGTCTGCATAACATCGTACAAAGTTACTACAAACATATGGCTTTCATTTTAGTAATTGCGATCACTTTGATAATAGCTTTCTTCGTTTCAAAATTACTTCTGTTTAAAGGTCAGACCAAAAATCTCCCAGGAGGGTCTCTAGGGTACCCTTTGCTAGGAGAGTCCCTGAGCTTCCGCCGAGCACAGAAGCAAAACCGAGGCCCTCAGTGGTTCGAAGAAAGAGTTTCAAAACATGGCCCAGTTTTCAAAACCTCCTTGATGGGTTCACCAACTGTCGTTGTTACTGGTCAAGCAGGTAACAAGTTTGTTCTTGGTGGTAGAGATGATGCTCTTGCCACCAAGCAACCGCTCGCCCTTGCAAGCATTGCTGGCAAGGAAAATATATTTGAACTTACAGGATCAAGGTAATAAATAAGTCCCCTCCAACTTGTACTGAAATGATTTCTTGTGACACGTTATGTTATTCGATTGTCAATCTAAATCGTAAGTTATGTAAGTTTTTGTTATAATGCATGATCGAAATTCACGGTTTAATAACATAACAAAGGTCTTGCATTAGAACGTCATTTTGTCATATAGCCGGATTTTACAGTCTAATAATCAGAAGTGAACGAGGTTTCACAATCTAATAACATAACATGCCAGATAGTAATGGAGCATCACCTTTAATTTGTTTATATTCAATGACCGAAATTAATAGTCTAATAACATGGCATGTTAGATGCCTAGTGTTGGAACATATCCCTAAATTTGTATGTTATGATCTATGACCAAGATTGACAGTCTAATAATAATGTCCGACAAGGGAACACAACCCTTAATTTGTATATGATCCTTATTACATTTTTGGTTCAATACGAAGAGGTAATTTATGTTTGTTGTAGTGTAGGTACAAAATGGTAAAGGGAGCAATGATGAGCATCTTAAAGCCTGAAATTCTTCAGAAAAATATCAAACCCATGGATGAATTAATCAAGAACATATTACTAAGAGAAACAAAGAACAAAGACACCATAAAAGGAGTGGCCACCATGAAGAAGCTCGCATTTGAATTAGCATCCAACATCCTTACCGGCATCAAGGATGAGCACACGACTGAGGCTTTGTCTGATGATTTATCCATAGCCTTCAAAGCAATTGCGACGATTCCCTTCAATTTTCCAGGCACAGTTTTCTGGAAAGGTCTAAGAGCCAGATCAAGGATTGTAAGTCGTATTTTGCCAATACTTGAGCAAAAAAGGGAGGAGCTTTCAAAGGGGAAGTTGAGCCCTACAAGCGATCTGTTCACTTGCTTACTAACCCTAAGAGATGAAAATCAAAAACCACTTTCTGATGATATGATTATAGATAACTATGTCACCTTAATCATAGCTAGTCATGACACTTCAGCCATCCTTCTGAGCCTAATGATATGGAAGCTATCCAGAGACTCTGAAATCTACAACAAAGTTTTAGAGGGTACTAAACATAATAGCTATTTCATTTTTTTGCTTAGCAGCTTAATTAATTATGGCCAATTTCTCACACTGCTTATATACTTGTATTAACTTTCATCGCTTTGTAGAACAAATGGACATTTTAAGGAAGAGGGATGAAGAAGCAGAAGATGGACTAACATGGTCTGAGATGCACAATATGAAATACACATGGAGAGTTGCACAAGAGTTGATGAGGATGGTACCTCCTGTGTTTGGTAGCTTTAGGACAACAGTTAAAGACACTCAATATGGTGGCTACGACATTCCCAAAGGATGGCTGGTAAATTTTTCTTTAATCATTAGCTTCAAACTATTCCCTCATCGCACAAGTAATTCTTCGTTGTGACAATATTACACCGTCACTTGATACAATAGCCCACCTATGTTATAACACGTGTTTTGTTTGTTACTCTCTAATATATAAATTCTCTATCCACCAATGTTATAACAGGTTGAATATACCTCATTGTTAACCCAAATATTTTGCCTTTGCCATGCACTCCGGATGTGCCATTTGTCTTTCACATGTAGTGGTCTCCTTTGTGGAGCATGATTGGCTTTTTGTTGATACTTAGTGAAAAAAATCTCCAAACTCTCATTCTCGAACTCTAATTAGCATCTAAGTAACATTTAAATAATTAGGATTTATTGCTTAATTATATCATATGGCAACTGCAGGTGCTTTGGGTGGCACATGGAACTCACATGAACAAAGATGTATTTGATAATCCCACAGAGTTTGATCCATCACGGTTTGAGAACCCATCGAAACCAATCCCTCCATTTACGTATCTTCCATTTGGCGGAGGTCTCCACACTTGCATAGGGAATGAGTTTGTCAAAATAGAATTACTCATTGTCATCCACAACTTGGTGACAAAGTTTGAGTGGTCACAGCTGCACCCTAAGGAAGCAATAACTCGTAACCCTGTGCCATATCCATCCATGGGTCTCCCAATCAAGATCAAACCAAGAAAGCTTTAGTTAGTACAAAGCCTGTTTATGCCTCATGCTTTGGTTGTTGATGATTTTGGTTTTGCACTTGAATTGGTTGTTCTTCAGATGAAAATCATGGAACTATTAATGCATTATAAATAAAAATTTGGCATGGATTAATTAACCTAATTATTTTCCTTAGCTATATATATCTTATTTTCGCTTGTTCTTGACCAATATACTGTAGGTTCATTTGCTCTATCTTTTTTGTATCCGTTTGTTAGGGCTTTGTAACTTGCGCATCTAATTAATGATGCTTATGTATAAATGTAGAGATCTAATATTACATGCAAGGGATTTGCAGCTCAAATAGTTAAGAGCGTTTACCATTACACTTAAAATCTTATTTTTGAAATCCCCCTCCCCTAATTCTTCCATTGTTTGGCAAAAAAAAAAGAGATTTGATTACAAGTTGGAGGGAATTGAACTGTAAACACGTCTTAATCCGAACATATTACCCCACCCTTCCTCACCCTTTGTGCTTAGCCAAGGGACTTAATTTTATCCTTTTGATTGCTTATCTCGTGGCATATCTCATGGCCGGTGGGTCTAGGCTATGGAATATATGATTTCTATAAATGTTAATACAAAAGGAAGATACATATATAATGAATTAATTAAGCAAAATCCATATTAATAAACCATTGGAAGAATAATGTTTGGGAAATCACTCAGCGACCAAAAGAAAACTGAGAATGTTGGATAAATTGTGGTCTCCATCCAAACTCCCTAGAAAGGAAGGTGGTGGCGATGACTTGGTGAATAATTCACGACAAAAGAATTTGGGCCACTAGCATGGCCTCTGTTTGGGGTCCTCGGAGTCATCGGCGTCATCGGGCTTTTTGATCTCGGCAACGTCATCGAGCTCCGGCCGTAGCCCCCATTGCCGGCGCTTCTTCTCGGCCCTTTCTCAGCCCACTTGAGCTCTGCTTGCTTCACACTGGAAGGGTACCTTGAGCAACACCCAACCTTCCCTGCTCTTTGTATGTACCTATAAGCCAATTTTACTTGTGTCATAAAATAAACAATCAGACAAAAACATTATTGTGTCCAAACATCTTGTAGTGGAGTTTCTTTCTCCTTGTATTAGGCCGCTGTCAGTTTGTGAAGTGCCAAGTATGAAGAACCAAGGACGGCACTGCTAATACATTTTATATCTTTAAAATTATATGTTACTATTGGTCCCGTCGTGTAGAACCACCTCATTCCCGGCCTTTGTTTAGTTTTCAGTTTCCTTGTTTGTTTTTCAAGATGTGTAGCTTGTTTGTAATTTTTCATTACATGATATGACAGTTGATGTGTTCAGTATTCAACAATTTAATGGTTTTCATCGTTTTTATTGAGTATATAATAGTCTATTTACCTTTTTTTTCTAGTGTTTTGACACGAACTCGTCCGATCTATAGTTTGGGAGTGGAAAACAATCCATGAAAATGGGTATATTCTTTGAATTATTTTTTTATTAATGGGCGTCGAATTGGGTGCTTTTTTTTTAGTGACCAAATCTTCGATCTGAAGAGAGTACTAAAGCACATTAAACAAACATAGTAAATCCCCCACAAGCATCACAAAACAAACACAATACACAAGAATAAGCGGTGCAAATCTGCCACAATAGGTCAGTGTGACAGATCCGAGACTGAGGAACACACAAAGCCACCATGAAAGTGAGGCCATAAAACCGCTAGGCGGCACAAACAAACACAAACTACAGCGAAGCCGCAAAGGAAACCGCAGACGGCTCATCTGCTCAACGAAAACAGGACAACCTTTTCTGACCATCAACACTGTCACCATACCTCGAACAATTCACAGCACCACCACCAAAGCAAGAAAACCTGTTGCAAATCCCGCCATGAAAGGCTTCTTGACCACAGAGCAAGCCTTGATTCTCCCATGGGGCTCTATTAAATTATGGAGAGTTGATTCAAAACAGTGGGTGAAGAGATGGAGAAGGGGGAGGCAAGAGGTAAGGCTGGAGGAGAAAAATACGTAGGGAAGAGGGTTGCCGCCGACCCCAAGCCATGGCAAGGGGCGGTGGCTGGAGGACAAGAGTTTTAAGGTTTTCCCTTGGGTTACAGAGGATGGAAAGATGTTATTGACACTTTACAAATGTCATCAAACATTAACTAAAAGTGCAGTTTTGCTATATTATTTATTTACCGATCTAAACAAATGATTATTTTCTTAGAATATCAATAACATTCAAAATAAGAAAATTTAATCATTTTAAAGTTACCCCATATGGGTAATTATCGTGTTGAGCTAATGGTTTGAATCTAAATATCTAGTAATTGTATGATAGCACTTCAAATAAGTGGAAAGAAACTTGATCATAGTTTGACTTGGCCATACCTTTGACTGAATCTCCTCCCTAAACACTCAACGCATTTTCTACCTTCTGTCATTTCTGCCATCCCTACCATCACACATCGCCTACAATACACTCTTCCACATACCTGCATACAAATTAATTACTACCATATGATCCATCATCATTTCCATACATGTGTTCAATATTTTCTCAAATATATCGGCAATGCATTAGATATTGTAAATTTGTACAAATAACACGTACCAGGCAACGGTGGCGGAAAATATAGATGTAGGTACTGCAAATGGTGCAGATATTAGAGTGGGGAATCCCAGGCCTTCGTATTCCTCCTCTCTCTTTCTGGTACATGGAAGCCATGCTTACACCGCTCACACCACTCACGTCATGATCAAATGCCCCCAAGCTAGTCTCCAATCCGTGCTTCATACCGGAATTACAAGTGGGACCAGGACTTCTCATATTCATATGATGATCATTATTAGCTGCATGGCCATCATGACCATGATGCATCTGATGGCTATGATGGTCACCACCGCCCATATATCGACCGTGACCTCCACGTGCTGCATGCCCATGCTGATGATAATTATGATCATTGTTATCACCTATGCCATATGGACCGACGGGGACATTGTTTTCGTTGATGTGGTGGCGGTTGTGGTGGTGGCGGTGGTTGTCTCTGGATGCTTGCAAGGCACGGTTGAAGTCAAGGCTGGGGAGTTTGGTGAAAGGAGAGGGAGATGATGCTTGTGGGGTAGATTTGAGTTCAGAGATTGGATCCAGTATTAATGGAGTAGGTTTTTTCTTCTTTTCTGATGTAACTTGGTGTATTTTGAGCTCTGCAAAGTCCTGGAAAGTTAGGTTAACTGACTCATCTGGGATGCCTTGGTACATGTCTTCAAGCTCCATTATTGCCTTGCTCAATGTTGCCTTGTCCCCCATCTCTACAATTTTAGAGAGAGAGAGAGAGAGAGAGAGAGAGAGAGAGAGAGAGAGAGAGAGAGAGAGAATGTTAAAAGAGTGAATTAGTGGTTGGGATTAAGAAGGGCGATTAAGTTGGTTTAATAGGTTCCAATGAGAACAACGACGGTAATAAAAGGACAAGTTGAAGGGCCGGTCGTGGACATCGAGCATCAATTTTTCCTCCCATATTGAAACATGGCAGGGATTAAGGATTGTGATGTATTACAACCCAAAAAAAAAAAAGGTTTTGAATTGGCCCTCAACTGTGACATATATTAATTACTAATTATTTGAATGTTAAGCAGACATGAATTTGGTCAGTTGGCAAGAAAATTGTGCTCATTTAATTGCATTGCACATAAGTTAAAACCATTCTATAATTAAAAATATGTTCAGTCATCTTAAAATCACTTTCAAACGAGCTTTTATTTCATATACGATTGGAATTAAAAACAAAGCAAATTAGTAGACAAAGTTATGATCGTTTCACGACTTGGCTAATAAATATTTGTAGTGCCGTGGTAGATTCCTCAATTATAAATAAAGAGTTCTTTAAAGTTTGATTTTATTATTTCACTTTATATATAATCATAAGAATATATATTCAAAGAAAATTAGATACGTCTTTGATAAAAATAAAAAATTAGATACGTCGTGAATAAATAAAGTGCATCCCATGTTTTGGCAACGACGATTGATTGAGTTGGTAATGATTATTCTTTTTTCTAAATCAAGGTTTAGGTTTGAGTTCAACTGCTAGCAATCCCTTTTGGTAAGCGATCTGTAAAAACAAAAAAAGGCTAAGGCGCCTTCTGTAAATCCTCAAAGAGGCTTGTATTATGCCATACTGAGATGTGATAGCCTCCCATACTTTCCTTGACCAAAAAAAAACCGAAAACTAACGAAAAGGTAAAAAAAAAAACTTTAGTTTTAATGAAAAATGACAAATAAAGGTGTAGTGAATAGTACCAAGAAAATGTAAAAATGTGATTTTTCATTAAAAGTGAACAGTAGCATGAATGTTTCGTTAAAACTCCCTAAAAAAAAATGCCTCCCATGTTTCTATTATTTGGTGAGAAACTAAACAAATAAGCAATAAAAATGCATATAAATCAACGTCCCGGCCAAGAACAAAATAATTAATCTCGAGGCCGGCGAATTTTTTTTGTTTTTCAAGTAATGTAGGCAGTAATAAACTTGTCTGCTGCTATCGAAACATTGGTCTTCACTCTTTGCTTTGGTGAATTTTAGGTAAAACCCCCTGTCATTTTAACTCCTAGTGATGAAACAACAATGGCCGAGTTTGTTTTGGATTAAAGATCTGGGGCACATTTTTTCACCTTCTGCACGCTATTTTTAATTCTGACTCTTGATTTATTTATTTTTTTAATTCAATGGTTAGAAAAAGAGAGATGAGAGTGCAAAATGTGAAGAGTAATACATCTTATCACGAGACATAGAACACACTTCTTCATGACCATCTAAATCGGATTTTCTTGTTTGCTTCATTCGTCTCTTTTGCAAGCAAGTTCCCATCAAACCGGGATTATCATATATGACAACCGACCGATGTTGCTGTTAACAATTAAAATCCTTGGCCTTGTTTTTCCAACCTCGCTCTCATCTAAATTGAATTCAATTCACCTGACCGATAGTACCCATTTTGGAAATGTCCAATGCCAAAATCACTGAATGGGTAACGTCGGGTCTCCAAAACCCAATGTCATAGGTTCAAATCCTACAGAGCGTGATTCCGTTCTTGCTAGGTCTAATTACAACGAAATAACTTCACTAACTTGAACAGCAAGCTAAATTTTCCCTTCTATAGAATTGGTTTGAGATTCTTCAGTGAGCTCTATAAAATATACCCATGACATACACCGTTCAACACAAAAACACTTGAAACCCCGAAGAACAAAAGAAAACCCTTAGCACTCAACATTAACAGTTAACAAGTGATGGATTTTTTTTCCATAAGATTGATTTTTTAAGTAATCTCGTCCAAATCCGATTGCCGCAAAAGGGAAGTGTTCATGCACTCCGCATATGGTAATTTTCAACCGGCATCAATTCGTCTGTTTCGACAAAAAAAGAACAGATTACATTCACTGGCTGTGAAGAACTGGGAGAGATGTATAGCACTGGCCTCTATAAATAAAGCAAAATAAAGATATACTTCCGACAAAAAAGAAGGGCGACGGTCCGATTGTTTCAGTCCTCACCACCTCTACCCTCCAAAGTCCAACGCTGCTACGGACGAAAGGCTGCCTTCATTACACATGAGTCTGTCAGTCTCCGCAGTCTCTTGTGCAAGTAAAGAGGAACCAAGACCAGCCTGTGGCTCACACGTTTTGTTTGTGAGGAAACTTTCCCTTGTGCCGTTGTTTACTGGTTGGCGAGCAACAGCGTCAGCAAGCCTCAACAAGTTCAACCCAGAAACCTGCACATAATTGTGTTTGGGCTCACAATTCAGATCAATTTGTCCAGCGCATGAACTTTCAGCCACGTCAGCTTCAATTCTCTTCTCGCTGCTGCCTCCATTCTCCGATGAGTGATTCCTATGCAACTCGATCTCTGTTGATGTGCCATTCATTTCTGATTCGTCCTTGTGGTCATTATTATCCCTCTGGGCATTCTCCGCTTCACGTTCTGATTTGCGTTTCCTCTTGTTCATCATGAGGGTTTTGAAGCGCCGTTTTACTGTCATGCACACATTGCATGTGCATGTTGGCTTGTGCTTGCCCTTCCCGCTCGGGGGTTGAATACATACTATGCAAGTGCAGCCTGGGCGATGACGCGGATGTCTGGTTGTGGCTCCAAGTGACTGCTCACCAGAGTAATCCACACTATCTCCCAGAATGGCAGCACTAGCACTCGCCAGGGCATCCAAGCCAGAAGGTTCATGTTCTTGGGCTTCATTATGGTTTACTACGATTCTTCGCTTCTTTAAATCTGGGTGAAATTAAAGATGGCCATAACAGAAAAATATAAGTTTACCAATGCCTACGTTGACGGTTGTGGTTGGAAACAATACGTGCATGTGTGTTTGAAAACTGTATTATATAAAAGAGAAAGGACACAAAGGTTCAAGTTCTACCTATGCTTGGTCTTAGAAGATTATCTAATTCCTTTTGGCTCACCTCCTCTGGTGCAGAACATGAGCACCTGCGATGATATAAAACAAACACAATCAGTCTTGCATCTCAGTGATCTCACAGCACAAGACTAATGATTTAAGTAGCAACCTGTTCATATCCCAAGAATTTTCAGAGCATGTCCACTTTGGAGGAAGAAAAACGTCGACAGGCAACCTCCGCCACTTAAAGCAATCATCACACTGAGCCCATTGTTCTTGTCTCCTGGAATATAAGTTCCAGGTTTCACAATGCACGCACAAAGTTAGTCCACAATTTACAGCAGACAGCCTACCATATCAGGCACATGCTCATGTGCCAACAAGGTCGTTGGCTAAATTTCAATAGTGGATTCAAGAGACTTGAGGATGCTCTTTGTGGCCGGGTATAAATTAAATACATCCTCTTTCTCAATATGATAAAGTAACATAGCATAGTATATCTCACAAATACTTACTCAGATTCGGCAATGAATAGAGATCTCTTCCCAAAAACAGGAGGCTCCTGGAAAAATTGAACAACATTGATCAGTCGACTCATTGGACTTTGTAACCTTCAACGGATTGAATATGACAGAGAATCATAGCACACGTCTTCATATAACAATAGGGGCACTGACTATGACATACTTACATCATACTCTTCGAATTCATGATCTTCTATAGTTACAATGCTTGGTTTGACACTCGGGGGTGGACGAAGCAAGTCCTGTGCTTCTTCCCATGTCAGTCTCAGCTCTAGAACATCTTCTCTATGCAAGAGCAACCTCTTACTTTTAGGCCCAATATTTCGGGCCCTCTTCTTGTCAGAATTTGACACTGGCCGCTGCAGCAAATCCTCACTTGTTAAGTGACTATGGTTCTCACAATTATGCAAACTCGTATCCCCTTCAGCCAAATGCAAATGTCCCGATAAAGCATTTAGGTAAGGGTCTTTGCTTCCTGTATTCGTTTGATAAATACTAGACTGACCACTTCCTGTTACTAGATTCTCAACGACACTAGGACAGGAAGTTTCCCCAGGAGTTCCATTGGGAAGGAAAGATGTTTGGGGGTCCTAATTGTTAACATTTGTGTAGAAATGTCAGATTCCATCAGAACAAAAGAACAAAAACACAGTATGGACGTAAGAGGGTGAAGAATTTAAAGAAATATGAAATTATGATACTTGACCTGCATATCTAAACTTCTTGATGCCTTTCGGAACCCAATTACAAGTCTGCCTCCAGGATCTATCCGACTGAATGTCACTGCAACAAAAGAACCAGATCCAAATCTAGACTTCAGCTAGGAGTTCTTTTTCTATGGCGAAGTGAATGAGAAGCTAATGAAATAACTGGAAAAATGCAAAATATGTGGACTTTTTATCTAAGCCCTCTAAGCCAGAATATAGTTAAGCATACCGGTATCACCAGCTTGAAGTTGCATAGACTGTATGCAAGGCGTTACTCCTTCTAAAACATACATCCTGCTATTATTATTTGGCCAAAATCTGAACTGAAACGTCCATTCATTACCCTTGACATCTTGAATCCTTATAGGAAGGCCTTCTGATTGAGAAATAGGAGGAAAGTATGCCTGCATTCACTTCCAGTTCATACAAGTGTGGCAAAGGGAAAAGAACACATACACAAACAAGGGGAAAATGGAAGGATAAAGAAACAAAAATAAAATAAATTATCCCCACCTATCCTTCCCAAAACTAATAAATAACATAATCCCGAATTCATAAAAAGCCTTTTAAGAAGTTCACTTTTTAATTTTTACCTCAGCACATGCTTTTGGGAGAACCAGACGACCAATTCGACCTGCATCACTGGCACTTAGCACCTTCTCGAACAGTGGCACAATAGTAGAATTCAAA